GCCCCCCCCTGCCCCCCCCCGTGCCGCCGCCACTGCTAACAGTTTTAGAGAAGAAGGAATTTAGGTGATAGTCAGCTCGTGAGCTTGGAGGGTGGAGGGCTAAGCTGTTTTCAGTGCGAGAGGGAGCTCGTAGCCCCTTGCTTGCTAGCGGCATGTGCATAGCTACAATGTTATTTGTGATCTTATAAAACATCTGTAAGCGGGCGTTTCGCCTCCTTTCTACGAGCAAAGGCCAGTCGAGTGTGACTAACATGTTAGACACACTAGACTGCCGTCTGTAGCGGCGGAGGGCAAATCGAGCTGCCCTTCTCTGGACAGCCTCCAGGTTCCTTATATTACTTTGGGTATAAGGATCCCATACCGTCTGACAATACTCTAGTATTGGGCGCACTAGGGTTTTGTAAGCCCGGGCTTTGACCTGTGGATTTGCAATGTTAATATTGCGTCTCAGGAAGTTAACGGTATTGTTGGCTTTTGAGGATACGTGATCTATATGAAGGTCCCATCGTAAATCTCCAAATATAAGAACACCAAGATATTTGACAAAGCTGACATGTTTGAGAATATGCCCATGCAGGGAGTAGTCGTAGACAATGGGAGCTCTCTTTCTGGTGATGCTGAGCACTTCACATTTGTCAGGGTGGAACTCCATAGCCCACTTTTCCCCCCACTCTGCCAAAGTATCAAGGTCGTTCTGGAGTTTCAGTGAATCACCCTGGCATGAGACCGTCATGTAAATCATGGTATCGTCCGCAAATAAGCGAGCTGTAGAGTGTAAGTTTTCAGTGATATCATTTATGTAATACAAAAACAGGCAAGGTCCGAGCACCGAACCCGGTGGGACCCCTGAAATGACATCCAATTTGCTAGAAGTCACCCCCTCGATGACCACTGACTGGGTACGACAATGAAGGAAGTCTTCTATCCAGTTCCTGATCTGAGGTTCAATGCCGTACCACTGAAGCTTCCGGATGAGTCGTTTGTGGCCTACCTTATCGAATGCTTTAGAGAAATCAAGCACACAGACATCTGTCTGGAGACCTTCCTGCATGTTGTTTACAATGTCATGAACAAGTTCCAGAAGCTGTATCATACAAATTACCGTACAATGCAAATACATGTAGTACATTTACTTTTCACACAGATCATTGCAGACCTGTTGGAACCCAGTGTACAGGTATGTTGTATTGGTTTTGTTTAGATACTTTAAATTGAATTTTTAATTGTTACAAAGTGAAAGAAAAACTGTTAGGAACAAGTAAGCAGGAAATAATTTTATTTATTTTTGTAACAATATAAGCTTATACATTAAAACATTTGTCAAAGAAAATCATTAGTCACAATGTGCTGTGTGGTAACGATTGTCCAAGTTTTTAAAAACACTGTTTCTGTTTCATTTAGGATCAGACTCTCTCACAAGACACGGTTGATATTGAGGTATGTTACTTGAAATAATAAATACTGTACTTTGTAATGAAAACTCTCTCCTATACTAAATGTCAGAAATAATTGGACTTCTTTAACAGTAGATTTTTACTCTGAGGGGTGCACCGTTTTGATTGACTCTTTTGACACAATCTATTCTTTCATCTTGAATATTATGTGGTAAACCTAATGTAAATTAAACAATCCTCGGGTTGTAGCCGAGCTGAAAATGGTAGAGTGGCTTTGAAATGGTGAGTACCAATAGGAGAACATCTCCCAATTTTCTTACATGTAATCTACATGTATGGCATTATAATTTATGTAGTGCCCTTGATGTAGCATGATTTATGTAACATGCTTTTAGTAAATGCCCATATATGTTATGATACAAGATGTGTTCATACTTTTATATGTGTGCTATTCTATGTTTTTCATATAAACATATGTTACATTTTCAAATGATGATTATATGTATAATCAAGGAGGTTAAAATCAGATTAAACTCCTTAGTATAATGAACTTGAATTCCTCTGAATAAATGTCTCCTTTTGTAGGATTCAAGACCATGTATCAACTACAAAGGACATGACCTCGGGCTCTGGACTCAAACTCCAGGACCTTGTACAACAATGCACAAGGGATACGATGATTGACATTGAACGTAACACATTTGCAAAGATTCTGAAAAATCACTTTGGTGGACAGTTCCAAAAGCGTCGTTTGGGCAGTGGACGAATCATACACTACGTAGGCTTTTCTCTAGTACAGTTCCAGTCCCCAGATGTTGGGCCTACACCCAGTGAAGATGGAAGTATCAATGAAGAATCATCTCAGGCCCATCTTGCACCCTTTGTTGACACCCCCAGTCCCGAGGCTTCTACTAGAGGAGAGAGTTTAAGTGTAGAGACTATGGACAGTACCACATGCTTTGACAATGAAAGAGTTTACATTTATGAAGTAGGTACTTAGTATGGACAAAGCTAAGCCACATTCCCTGCAAAGGGCCATACAGTCAAAGGGGAGGGGGGTAGTAGAAATTTTCATAGACAAGAATACAACTTGCATCGTGTTTGATAAAAAGGGCATACACATCTGTCTTTGTCCCCTCAGACAGATTTTTATGTAGTTATACAACTATGGGAAAAAGTTATTTGACACCTCATATTTCAACATCTCACTGATTGCAGACAAGGAGACACCAATATGTATGCCTTATCAAACTGTTGATTCACGGGTCACCATTCATTAAGGTTCAGGACATGTCAGGACTGTATAGGCCAGTATACAAAGAGTTTGGAAACAATGAATGGTCATCTTGTAAGTTTTCTCTGAGTACCCAGCAACATGACGTACTCCACAGACCCCAGAATGATCAGAACGTTAAAAGAAAAGGTTATTGTGAATGCTGTGGGGAAACGTATACAAACCTTCTATCTCACTGTGCGTCTCCATGTTGCTTTTGCTTCCAATCTTGAGCAGTATAAGAAGTTGGCTGAATGTATCAAAGAAAGCTCATTAAGTGCATGGCTAACAGAAGAACACGAGATGAACTAGAATAAGTAAAGATGAACATTATATTGGTATGTGGGTTGCTATCCTCTGTAGTTACCACTAGCTTCTACTGTTGCTGGCTACAGGCATGAATGTGGCAGGTTTAAGCCAGTCATCAGTCCCGCGTCCGGAAGAGGAACTTTGCAAGGTTGTTTTCCAGCGTTTATGACAAAGCAGTAACAACCAGTATCATTAAGATTTCTTTCGCAAAAGCTGGCATATACCCCTTTGATGAAGATGCTATTGATGACAGATGGATAGGGGCGGACACACCCGAAAGACCGAGTTAGGCCAAGGAGGACCACCATGGGTTACAAAGTGTCGACACAGCAGCAGGCAACAAGGAGCAACAGTCAGCAGACAAAACATCATGCCCAACATGCAACGAGCCTTGTAGGTCATGCGAGCCTCTCCAGAGCCCGCTGATCTCAAGGCTAATCCCGCCGTCTCTAAGGGAGGTCCTGATTCCGGTAGCAATAACCGCACCTACCCAGCGCACAGCCAGGAGGAGGCTGACCGGCAGATCTTAACATTCACGGACGTCGTCAAGGAAATAAAACATGAGGAAGACGAGAAGTAGGAGCGGAAAGCACAAAGAAAGGCGGAGCTTGCTAAGAAGCGTGAAGAGAAAGATCAAAAAGAGAAGAAGAAAAAGAAAGAAAGAAGAGAAGCAGGCCGAGGCTAAGAGAAAACTGGCTGAGAAGGAGGAGAGGAAGCGAAAGCGACAGGAACAGTTTAAAGCGAGGAAGAAGAGACGAGAATAAGACAAGGAGAACCAGAGCCAGTCAGCACCTGGCAAATGTCCCTCAGTGGTAGGTAACGGGCGTATATATCTTATAAACTTTCATTTCATTTCATTTCATTTATTTCGAAACCTTTTAGCCCTGCAGGGCTAGTCTTCCAAGGCTCAAATACATGGAATACAGGCACTTCGAATACGTTACATATATACATAGGATAAACGGGGCACAGGATGATTGCAAAGGGTGTAAACACAAGAAAATATTGTTTTGTTGTTGGTTTTTTTTCGCCTTGTTAGACGATGGTACAGCGGAGACCTGCGGATTGTCAATACATATTACGAAATTTCAAAACGACGTGTATCTAGTTGTTTCTCCATAATTTGATGTTGTGTTTTCTTTCACACGGCGATCAGCTATATTTTATTTTTTAATACGTTTCACAGAGTCAAGGATTCGCAAGCCCCCGTCGTGGTTGCAACAGTACGAGACAGAAGAGCCGATGGAGGAGGGGGGCTAGTTCAGTTAACGCACGATAGCTTCCGTTTATATAATATTTTACGGATAGTTGTCATGTTAGGATGAGGCAAAAGACCTTATCCCGCGGAATTCCGATCACGTGACTTCCGTTTCCTGTCTACGTCACTCCAGCGCAGCATCCGATCCTGACTGGTAGCTCCGTGAGACACCACCATCCCTCCCCAAGCAGCTCACAGAATAATCAGGGACACTGTTTCATATCTCTCAGAACTGTAACATATAACCAGTTTACCAGCATTTCTGAGGCAAAGTAGTTAACAAAAAAAAATGTTCGCTTATTCTAGATTAGGTCACACCAAGTAAATCTTATGGATGACGTCCGCGCGCGCATTGATTTTCGCATGTTCCTAGAAAAAAAAAACACAAGAAATTCCGCTTCCTGTAACTATGACCAAAGAGTCACGACAGTGCCGCAAATAGATTTGTACGGACCAAAGCTTATGAAGCATCAAGCAAGGAAATCATGACTTCCTTTAAGAATTCAGTTTGGTACATGCTGCCACATTTTAAGAAACTTGCTGACCGCTCCATCTATCTCCCCAAAGCACAGGACGACAACTGCTGTTTCACCTGATTTATTGCTGTTTTGATGATGAATAAAAGACTTCTTGCTTGTTGCACTGTGTCACCTCATTCAATTTATGTCCTAACATTTGTCGTCTCTTAGTATATTTCTAATCTAGGCATCTTGTTTTTTGGGGCCCTTCTTGTTTTTTTTCGCCCTCTCGCATTAGATTTAGGGTCTCCAAAGGACGTCATCCATAAAATTTACTTGGTGTGGCCTTATGGACCTCTGGACTTTTTGACGGACTGCTTTTTAATGAGGATTCGCATTCACACCTGTTTGGTTAGCACCATTCATATATTTGGTCACATGACATGTTGCTCTTTATTGAAATGTCAAGTTACCCAGTTAAATTTCTAGCGTAGGAAGTCGGTAGGCCTTCGCAGCCTTACTTTGTTGACACAAGTTCATAGTTCAGTTCTCAACATTTCGCAGTGTCAACGTTTCCCTTATGAAGGCTGCACGCTACAGCCTCACCATTACGGATTGTTTAGTCAAAAGTTTCGCATTGTTACATAGCTTAGCACTTGCTTCGTAGGTAAATCAGGACGACTTCTTAGCGTTATTATACCCATTTCACACTTGTTCTTCCAAATCGAGACCACCCGGAGTCTCAGGTTATGTTAACGTTGAATAGCTTAGCACATGCTAGGCCTGTGATGTCTCCAACTTTACCATTAAAGACATCCGAGCCCAAACTCTCATGTTATCCTTGAGTGAGTTTAATTATGATAATCATTAGTTGTATCATAAACATAGGCTTGAACTTCGCCGGTGGTCAGTTTTCCATGAGTAACTCAATATTGAGAACGTCATAGCGTCGCTTGACATAAGCCTCCCTGAGGCGCACTTGGACTCCTTCAAGCTGGCCACCCGCCAAGTCTTCCACCGCCTGCCGATCCGTCTGCCGGACCCACCCCACCTCGAACCTCGGACCCACTGTCCCTCTGCAATCGGGGCGTACAGTCATTACGTCTGCCCTGGGAGCCCCAGGACGGTGGAACTTCGCGACCCACAGAGGGAAGTCAGGATTGTCAACGACTTTTTGGACGTTGGTCCCGTAGTGGAATGTTTGTAGGGTCAACTTGTAGTATAAACACAATGAAAGTTGACTGTTAAAGTCGTTGATTATACACTAAGCACAAATATGATCTTGTTAAAATGTTAAAGTCGTATAAGGACAAATGTGAACTTGTTAGAAATGTTTAAGTCATTGTTTATAGGCTAAGCATAAGTGTGACCTTGTTAAAATGTTAACGTTTTTGGAAGCCTTAGGAGATATAAAGCCAACGGACCCATTTTTATATTTCGACAAAAACAAAAGCAATGAAGAAATGAATAAACATTTGTGCCAATCTAAAGGCAATTCTGTCAAGGACTTTCTATGATACGCCGTGCAAGTGTATGAATCGTATCCAGTGTTCAAAATGTCTGTCAGGGTCGCAAAGGCGGGAAAATGATTGGACTACGACATTACAAGTCTTTTTTTTTTATCTACATTTATATATTCATCTGTGCGTGTGTTTCCCGTTTAGTTTGGATTTGATTATTCTAAGCAATATATAATTATACACCTTTGCAATGGAAATAACAGCCAACATAACTTCCGCACTTTGGTCCCCTTTTTCGAAAATGTATAAGTCCCAAGCACGTGTACACACATCACTACGACGATACCAAACGTCTCAGTATAGGTATAGCTTGCTATGACAATTACGTACAGCCGAAATGGTGAGGTTTGCCAATAACTAACTTAAAAAGGTAAAATTAAACCTTCGTGTATAACATAGGTCGGAATTAGGACCACCTCCGTTACTGTACTGGAGACGTAGACGCTCAAACCTGTTGCTATACATGCAATCAAATTCAATTATGCTGACAAATATTATGCTCTCCTATTCGTTTACAATTATTATCACAACAACAAGTCACAAATTCTATTCCCCTTAGCTGGAAATTGGAATGGAAACGTGTTTACTGCCTGTAATACAGACTTGCTATTCCCAGCGCGGGAACGTTGGTAACCTGATCTCAGCCGCATCGCCACGTCAGGTTTTATCTTCCTTCCGCGAGATAAAGTAGTCCGTCCCATGCTTTTGTCAGCATTCTTTATTGTTGGTTAGTAACATTTTTACGAACTATATGATTTTAATGACTTAAAAGTTTGGTCGGTTCTTTGTGAAACGAGCCAGTCAGTACCGGAGTCATTATGTTTACAACTTGTGTTAAAAAAAAATCAAAATCAAAGTTATCGATTATTTTTATCATTATCAGGCTCTTCGAGTCATTTGGTTTTGATATGGCTAAATCCCTGGTCTAATGTTGTGCATGGGTATCAACAACACGACAATATAAATAGATGAACAAAGTCAGCTTTAATAACAATACAACTAAAATCTAAGAAGTTGTTTGTTATGAATAGTTGATGGTGTTAAATTTTATGTGTTAGATTGTGTTAACACAGGTCAACATTTTCATCTGCAGCTTATAAAATGTACCCACGAATTATTGAAATTCTATTTATTTAATCTGCCGCAAGGAACTCGTAATGAAACTCCGAAATGTCACATACAGAAGCTTGTTGAATAAAAACCCACTAAAACCACCCATAGAAAATGTTAATGCCCCCTCCTCCTCCATTTCGGAACCCTCCCCCCCTGAAGCCCCCCTCCTTGATAGCCCCCGCCCCTCCTCTGTTGATACCCCCCTCAATAGCTCCAAGGGGTGTCCCTGTAGAATAGCAAGAGGGGAAATATATTATCATTACATTAGGTTATTTGAAAAACATGTACCTTAGTTAAAAATTTGATGGTTTAAGTGAAAAATCAATTCTAGGATGTGAACAAATATGCGAGCTTACACGTTAGAGCTGGGAGCAAAATGACCTAGCTGGCCGCAGTTCCAGCAGGTTCTTATCCTGATAGAAAATAGGACAAATATTTTAGCAAAAAAAGTACAGCATTTGAATTTCAAACATTAACAGCACTTCATTTTAATCCGTCAGCATATTAATCCGTCACTTTTTAGCATTCCGATGCCAATTAAAATGCATCCCTCATATGCAAGAACTTTAAATTGCAATACAATACCAAGGCCATATGCATGATAAAAAAGTGCAATTGTGAGGTGACTACGATTAAATGTTGCAACGACGAGGTCAACAATCAACCGACCCAATTCTCACACCTCAAGTCGGCCGTGGAAGGGCGGTCAGTCAACACAACGTCGAGATTTTCTCCTTTACACTGCTACATTGCTAATACATCACCGCATGGACGGAAAGAGGAATAATTAAAGTGACTGCTGTTTGTAACCAACTTGCCTGGTTGTGTCCTTTATTCACGCACAGCACGACTTAGTTACGACTTTCAGTGGCTTTTCGAACGCATCAGGGGGTCGCCATTTTGAATACCCAGAATTCTTTGAGTGCATTGCGTAATCGAACATCGATCAGACGACAAGGAGCGAGAAAATTGCCAGTTTAAAACTTTCCTCTTTTTTGGTGTAAACAAATAACTTCAATGACGTTATTGATCAGGTAGGTGAGATCTATACTTAAAATGCGGAGAAAAATTGCAATGCTGCAATAACATCACAGCTCGCTAGACGACTCTTTTGAAGGTTGCCATTTATATTGGGGACAAATCGTTATCTTACCTCATCATGGTATGAGGAGAGAAGCTTGAAGCCTGTTTGAAGATCTACGTTAATCCTGATACATCCTACTTTCGTTTTGAAAATGTTTTTATAGAAATGTTTTTGATATTGAACATCATGCTATTGTATTCACTGATTCTACAAGGGCTATGTGCATCAGTAATGTATGATACAGTACGAACTCTCTTATACAGCGATTAAAAGTCACTGTACAGGCATTAGGACGTTTTATGTGACCAAGATAAACCGTTCAACATTACCTATTAGTAAGAAAACATAATTAAATGTAACGTTACATGAAATTAAACCAGCGTAAATTGCATAATTTTCAGCAATGAAAGCGGAACGTAAAAAGAGGTCATGGCAACCCGAGTTTATGGAAACAGTCCTGAGGGACATTAAAGAGAATGCTCTAAAACTCGCCGAAGCTGCGAGAAAGTACAACATTCTAGATCTGCGGACTACACTGAATGATAAGTTGTCTGGAAAGAGCAAAGTCGACGCACGGAACGGCAGGCCTCCAATCTTGTCCAAAGAAGAGGAGAGTACTATTCTTAAGTATTGTATCGCGTAAGGGCTGGCCACCCCGTGACAAAGACGGCCATGTTGTTCATGATCACAGCAGCCATACACAGTCGACACAGTAAGATGATCGGTGCTTAGTAAGTCAAAGTTTGAAGCCAAGAAAGGTCCTTCCCGTCAATGGTGGGCGAATTTCAAAAAACACAACGGCGTCCTCCTACGAAAGCCAGGTCCCTTGGATCGGGGCCGGAAGGATGCTATGGACAAGGCCACCGTGGACAACTTCTTCGATTTGTTGAAGACCCATGGGCTAGAGAAGGCACCGCATCGAGTATACAACGCCGATGAAACCGGGTTTACACTGGACCCGCAGAGAAAGAAGATCGTAACGTTTCACTCAGCCAGTGCTCGGTACTTCGTCATCTGTACGGCCCGGGACAAGGGATCACATATCAGTCTTGGAATGTGTGTCGGCAGACGGCACTGCCATCCCTCCCTTGATTATCTTCTCGAAGAACTTTCCGAGTTCGTCCTACAAGCTGCAGGGGCCTGAAAATGCCATGTACGCGTCAACGCCATCGGGTTACATGGACAGTAATGTATACGTCGAATGGCTTCAAAAATGCTTTTACAGGTAGTACTACGCTTCGACAGAGAACTACGCTTCGACAGAGAGGCCTGTTGTGCTGTTACAGGACCAGCACTCCGCTCACGTCAGGCCTGCAGCCATAGAGGTGGCACTCAAGCACAACATCATCCTGATTGACTTCCCTCCTCACAGCTCACACTTCATCCAGCCGATGGATGAAAGGGGTGGTCCCTTCGCATCATTGAAGTCAAAGTTCGTGGATGTTATTCAAAATCTAAACGTCGCAAAACCAAATTTCGTCGTAACAAAATCATCATTTCCGCGTATTTACCGAGTGGTGAGAGACGAGGGCCTCACCATGGCTGTCGTGAAACGCGGTTTTAAGAATACAGGAATCTTTCCTGCCAACCCCGATAGAATCGACCAAAAATGGCTGCTGATGAATAAGCAGCCTGGAGGAGCCGAAGAAAACGGCACAAAAGATGCCCTGCTGTCGGAAACGATGGAGCAAGGTCCTACTGTGTCATCGCAAGAACTTGAAGGCCGTCAGTTGTTGAGTATTGAAGTCGAGATGTTGGAATTGGCGGCCGCGGCATCGTTCGACCAGCCTTTTAGTTCTCAGTCTACAGCACCTAAAGTGACGTACAAAACGTCGACCAACACTGAGGCGTCTTGTCCGTCCTGTGGTGGCGTGGCCACGTCACCCATGTTGAATCCTCTTGTGTCCGCTGGAATAATTCCCGGATACATGAGCGACCTGCTGACCCCCATCCGTGAGTCACAGGCGCGTGGAAGAAGGAAGGTTACACCAAAAGCAATAGTCTTTGATGAGGAGTACGTCACCACATTGAAGAAGGAGGCGGAAGACAAGGAGAAAGAGAAGGAGAGACAGAAGGAAAATAAGAAGAGGGAACGTCAAGAGAACAAGAGAAAGAGAGATGAGGAGATGCAGAAGAAGGATCAGAAGAAGAAGGATCGTGATGAGAAGAAGAGAAAGAGAGGAGGAGCAGGAGAAGAAGAAGGAACGAAGCGTGAGGAGAAGAAAGGAGAGAGGAGGAGCGACAAGAGAAAGGCGCACCCGCGGTAAGCGACGTACGTATTTTAGTTTCATTTGTCGAATCAAATTTAAACTACCGATAACGCTATACGAAATCAATTTGGTGCAAAGTAATAGATTTGTGTGAAAGATTGATTACATTACTTGCCACATTACATTACTTATGTGTGGTCTTGTCAAAACATTTCAGGCAAGGACAAGCAGCGAGAGAAGGCCCCAAAGAATTAAGAAGAGGCCGGTTTGGCTTGGGGCGTACGAAGTATCGAGTGATGAGGTACATATATATGGTACTTTTTCGGCATTTAATTTGCATGTGTCTGGAAAATTGATATTATATTTCCTTTTATTTCATTGAAGCAAGAGCAAATCCACACATTGATTCAGTTATTCTATTCATCTTGTATACGTTGACGCAACACTTACCATTTTATATGGTGTTTCACACAGGACTAAGGTGGATGACATGGCATCTGAGTGTCACAACTTAAAACTCTCAAGCGGTTCACAGTTGTTACTGAGAGTTCATTCGAGACAGTTCTACCACATCGGTTGCCTCTGGAAGTGCAGTGTTTGTTGTTCCCGGGCTATGGCCCTTTAGACTATGAAATACTATTGGACGAGGCGTTTGCTCTACGCTGCCGTTGTACTCTCTTTAGAGTGTCTCGATTTCTCCTTGTTTTCGGACTCCAGATAGCACTTGCAAGATGGGGTCCTATAGGGCTTTTGTATAAGAGTAGAAATGCGCCTGGTACTTTATTATCCCAGGTAACGTTCAATTGAACATGCTCACTAAAGGTCAGTTTTTTAGTCTATCAGTAAACCCAGATGTTTCTCTTCAGAGAAGAGAGAAAGTCATGTGTATATCACTATGTTATCACAAAATGTATCGTTTCTCTTGTTGTACAATGCCAATAGAGGATAACAATATTAGAAGAAGAGAGAAGAGACGTACTCTCTAATTGCTCTCAACTGAACATTTATTCCGCAAACACATTGCCAGAATAATACATTTTTTTTTACAACGTAACGTCTACTTTTACAACATAATACGCCTTCTTCACGTACTTGTCATGCAAGACGCATGACAAGTCCCCGACGGCGCCTCCTCCAACGATGTTCAGGACGGCCTCCTGGTCCTTCTTTCTCACCCACCCGCAGGCCACCCAGGAGCCGTCAGCGTCAGCGGCGTACACCATAAGGCCGGCTTCAGGGGCACCTGGCCGGTGGTACCACTCCACCCTCAAACGTGGCTCCTCTTCGAGCTCTACAAGCCACCTTGCACCATCCGTATGGTGGATGGTCTGAAGCGTCAAGATCTGTAAATGATCACGAAAATGACGGGTTTGACATAAATTGTATCGAATTTCATTTCAGTACTCTATAGAAAGGGCACCAGCCTGGCAGATATCCCTGGCCTCCTTCGCAGACTTGTGTGGCGGTGGTATGGCGTTAATTTTTTGGGGGCGCACCGATACGACGTATTCTCTCTTCGCGACAAAACTCCGCCTTTGAAGCCCGTGTAAAAATCGCATATCAGCGCTCTCGAGCCCCCCCCCCCGTCATGGCTGTGAATTCCTTGTATACATGTATATATTGAGCGCATTCTCTTTTTAGCGAACGCCTAGGATTTGTGGCACGAATCTTAAATTTTTTGTGTGGTCATGTCCAGAGTGTGCTCCCGCGTGTTCGGGCAAAGTTTGAAGCGAATCCATCGAGCCGAACTTAAATAAATCGAAATTTACTGTTTTTTTCTCTTCTTAGCGAATACCCACTTTACTTCCGGGTTTGAAAGGAATGCACAGTAATCCTTCAAAACATCGGCCCTCGCGCAACGCCGGCAAATATTCGTAATCGGCGGCGAAAATTTTGCGTAATTCGTAATCACTATGCCACCCCCTCCCCCATGCAGGCCCTCACACACGTGTCTGTGTATTTACTGTGTGGTGACAGGGTAGGGGGTTCAATGCATGAGGGGCGACAGAAATGTGGTCCCAGAAATTCAACTTTGTAAACTCTTGAAATTGCCTGGAATATATCATGCACGCTATATCCTCTTCATTCCTCCGCTATTACGTGAAGGAGCGGAGGAACGCAACAGAGGAACGGAAATAGCGTTCACAGATGAAATTCAGGCAAGACATGAAGATGGCGTATACAGTTTGTTTCTGTAAGCTATTTACCTTTTTAGGGACCGAAAGCAATGCTGTGTGTGTAAACTTTACACCCTCGTAAATCTTTATTATTGTAAGGCATTTAAGTTATAGTTATAGCTGGCTTACACCATTCTTATGTCTCTTTGATTTCCGTTAAGCCGATAGTCACACATTGACAGTTTCATTGATGACACAACGCGTAAGCTTGTGGGACCTATATAGTAATTTTAAATGTTTTATGACAAAAAAAGTAATTATAAATGTGATCTACTTACATGTGCAACCATGCCCCACAACTGGGACACGGAGTAGCTGCATTGAAGCGTGTTTTTCTTTTGCACCTCCCGCAGGGGTACGTTGCTTGGCGATGGGACATGTTGGTACATCCACAAAGATAGGTTCACGATGGGTGAAAATGTGTCACATCCATTTTGAAGATATTCAAACCTGTTATTATTTCATCGTTGTGGCTAATAAATGGAAAACAAACTTTAAAGGTTGTAACAGGACAGACGTATCAAGGCTGTAGTCTGTCACTGTTTGATGCAATGTTCACTGATATATGTCATATATAGACTGTTTACCGTTAATGTTTTGACGTTTTTTTCCCGCGCGTGGGATACCTCCCTAGCAACAGTAACTAACAACACTGGGACCACAACACTGCCCCTTCCGTATTGCTTTCATTGTTGTACAACAAAGT